AATTGAATAAATATCAACCAATTAATATGTGGTGGACCACATAAGATGTATAATCTTAAGTTCATAACTACAAATCTTAATTTCCTCCAATTAGATGGATAATAATATTATATGGTAAAATTATACATACATATATATATACACACACAAATATAAACTTGAACAAAATTTTAACTATGTCATATAATGTAATGTTATTCTCTATGATTTTATCAAGCCTGTAAAAAAATCCTAATAGTCAATCCAGATCATCGTTCAGAATACTTAAGTAAAAACTAAAATAGTTGTTACAGTCTCATTCATAAAACAATGTCGTTTTAGGATAAATTTTTAGTTTTAATTACTTTTTTATATTGTTCTAATTCCAAATTATATACATATAAATACTCTTAAAGTATGGCTAGATACTTTTACTTATTTTTAATATATTTTCTTTAAAAATATTTTTATACTCATTATGACCTCTTAATGTTAATTGAAAGTCCATATTTTCAAAAAGAGCAACATATAATTATCTAAATTATTTGGAACTCACATTGTTTAAATCTTCACAATCGTCAAAAGATGTCAGAAAAAAATATTGAGTGAATCCTTACACTTTCATGTATATTAGTTGCATACACTATCTTTTTTGATAAAAATATTTTTTAAACTCTACTTTAATGAAATGCACCTTTTAACTAAACTATACAGTACATAATTTATAATATAATAAAAATAAAAATTAATGTTAGTTACCAATATTATTTTTTCTAATCAATTTATTGTTGTGTTCAAATATTTTCTATAACTCTGTTCAAAGTTGATTTATTTTATAATATATATTTGATTACTACATTCAATTGTTTTTAGTTAACTGAATTTTATTTGTCATTATTCATACTTATAATTTTACTGTATCTTATATTTATATCTCTTTTACTAATCGTTGTAATTACAGTTGTATTATTATAAAAATATCAAATGTAAAAGATATTTGAAGCAATCAAATTCATTTATTTGGCAATATGTCTTCGCATTTAATTTTTTTAATGTTCATCATTGTTCTATTATCGAGTAGTTTTTATCATTACATTTCAGTTTATAAGTTTTTTATTCTTGTTAAAAATTGACTTTTTTGATAAAAAATATTTTTTAAACTTTATAGTACATAATTTATAGATTTATAGTATAATAAAAATTAATATTACTTAGAATTATTATTTTTTATAATGAATTTATTATTGTGTTCAAATATTTCTTATAGCTCTATTTAAAGTTGACATATTTTATAATATATTTGATAACTACGTTCAATTAATTTTATAATATATTTGATAATCATTGTAATAATAGTTTTATATTATAAATATATCAAATGTAAAAGATATCTTAAGCAATCAATATTCATGTATTTGGCATTACGTCCTTGCATTTAATTTTTTTAATGTTCTTCATTGTTCTATTGTACAGTAGTTTTTATCACTATATTTCAGTTTATAAGTTTTTTATTCTTTTTTAAAAATTGAATTTTTTGATAAATTATTTTTTAAACTTTACGTTAATGAAAGACACCTTTTAACTAAACTATGTAGTAAATAATTTATAAATGTATAGTATAATAAAAATAAAAATTGATATTAGTTGGCATTATTATTTTTTTCTAATCAAGTTATTATTGTGCTCAAATATTTCTTATAGCAATTTTATATAAATATTAATAAAAATAATAAAAGTAAAATAATAACATACTTTTTATATTTTAATAATTGCTAATATTTTATAAATTCATGTGCAAAATTTATATTTTGTTTTCTTTCATATTATGTCATCTGTTTTTTTCTTATTATTTTTTTTTCTTATCTAATTTGCGTTTTTGTTGTACAGATAATACATTTCTTGACTAAATTATAAAAAATTACCATTTGGTAAGCTAATGTCATAGTTTTGGTGTTCTCTACAGTATCAAACAAACACATTTTGATAATTTTAAAAGTTTGTTCAAATTTTAATATTACTGAAAATGCAGAGTGAAAAAAAATTCAAAAGGGGATATTGTGATAAATAAAAGGCATTGATAATTAGCTACTCTCCAAAGGTTACGCAAGTGGAGAGTCTGGTCGCTAGAATGTAGTTTCCTCTTTGCTTAGGTATTTAAATCATTATTATATTAATTAATAATTAAAAATATTAGTATAGATGAGTATTAAATTACAAATTTGACATTATAGATATGAAAAAGTAAGGGTATTGTAGGCATATCATATTTTTACAGATTCATTGGCTCTTTTATAATAGTATAGATATAGATAGATATAGATATAGATATAGATTAATGAGTTTTTACTTTGACCAACAAGGTTACGGAAAATGCCCTTGCTTTCGCCTTTCATATGGATTAATGAAAAATGCCCTTGCTTTCGCCTTTCATATGGATTCAAATTGGCAATATCAAAGGCTAACACTCTCTTCTTCTTCTTCTTCTCCTTCTTCTTCTTCTTCTTCTTTTTTTTTTTATTTTTTTTATTTGTTGTCTTTTCTGGTTAACTTTGAATTCTCTACAGTCTAATATTATCCTTTATTCAATTTCATATCAGAGATCATTGTTTCTGTGGGGATGTCAATGCCTCAGGTGATTGCTCCTTTAGACAGCACTACACATCTGAACAACTGGATTCCAGTAAGCAGGGCACTGATATAGCACAAAAAAAAAAAAAAAAAAAAAAAAAAAAAAAAAAAAAAAAAAACCATGGTGCACTTTTACTTATTCAGCAGTCTTCCTGTTAAACCGCTTAATCAATTTTGATGTGATGTGTAAAAAGTTGCTGCTTTGTCGATTAGCTGAGTCACGTGCACGTCAAAGCTTATTACTTTAGATGGGCCTTCGTGCCTTTATAAATTCGATTCGTCTCCGGAGTTGATATATACTTATGTGGGGGGTTTTGTTGATAGACCAGAAAGTAAATGGGCAGTCTTGTGATATTCTTTTTTGTACATAGGAACTGACTTGTTAATCATACATAATCCTGTTTAGTCAGAGGGATATTTTGCTTGCACGCATATACTGAAGTGTGGTTTTGGAATCATTCGAGCTTGGAAATTAGTTGTACTTTGAAATTTTTGCTGTAATTCCACTAAATCTTTGGGAAAAAAAAAAGGGGGTCATACCACGATATAATGAAATGATCTTGTTACTCTGCATTATCTTTATTAATCTACAATCATTGTTAAATTTGCAGATCATTTTATATCGGGTGCTATGTCGATTTTTTCGTGTGGGATAACGATTTTTTCATATATGATTTGGTTGGTACTCACTCCTTTGCAGATAAGTGAATTCGCATACCAATACACACAACACTTACACAAAATTGAAAATGATTCTCTTCAGATTAGATTCAGGTCAAATGCAGAGAACAAAATGAATCAGCGTCTCCTTCGGGCAGTAGGGGGCAATTTCTCAGATGGGCCACAGGGAAGCTTTTCCCCAGATTCTCGTTCGATTTTACTCTTGAGCTCTCTTAATATTCTAATCTGACCGAGCTTTTCGGGAGAGAGTTTGTCCCAGTATATTCCTGAAAGTGGATGAAAAGAAAACTATAAGACAAAGGGTATATGTATCCAAGTGAAATCATTTCTCTTCACTTGATACTAATGTAGGTAGAGAGATTTTTAGAACTCACCTTGAGGTTTTGGTATTTGGGTGTTGGTAAAAATAACTCGGGTTGGAGTGCAAATGATGTCAACCGGTACATCATGAACCACCAATTTCTCCATCGGAATTTCATCAATCAGTTGCTCGTCATGCACTGCAAATGTGAAAAAGATAACTCTGACCGATAGGCAAAGAGCAACTAAAGAGAAGCATTGACAAAATATAATTTGGCGCTTTTTCGTTACTATCCAAAACCTAAAGGGTTAATTTTGTAACTGTCTGAAATACGAAATTTACATCAGGAGTAGATTGGACCAAGAAAAAAAAAAAATGGCACCGATTCAGTTTCTACATTTGCTGTACAGGGATGAAAGAGAACAAACCTGATGTGACAACAGGTGTTGAGTCATCTATGGCACCCATGTACCGTAGCATGCCATATTCGAGTTCGGCAAATCCCTGCACTACAAAGAAATTGGTAACAAAACCAAAATATGCTACCAAATTTAAGTATCTTAAGACTTAAAATTTCGAATAGGTATCTTACGAATTACGCCCCACTTGTGCACTTGGTGAAGAAGAAAGAATAAAAATAAAAATAAAAATAAATACAGGCATCAAAATTTGTCATAACAAGACTTCCTCGACCATACAAACAGAATTCACCGGGCGTTTGCTTTCAGAAGGATGACTTAAAAGTTACTGCATGTGAGTCGTATCATTTGTCTAATGATGATTTTATTAGGAAAAATACATACATATAATTATGGAAGACAGTGGATAAACTTTGTAAAGTACATCAAGTCAACCATCTTCCTTTAAGGCTCGAAATTTTATTCAGAAACAAACTAATGCACTAGCTCAAATATATCGAAAAACAATGGCCAAAAAATTACAAGGACAAATCTTATACCTCACCCTTGCCAAGTCTTGCCCCAGTTTTGGGGTCGACAGCAACAGAACCAATGACGATCAAGTCCACTTTTATCTTCTCATCTAAGCCTATTGGCTTGCCATATTTGGCCACCCCAACCGAAGTGCACGCTTCCTTAATGGTGCTCGGGCTTAACATCAAGTTTTCAAGAACTGAGAAAAATCCCGTTCTAAGACGTGGCTGAGGAGTCAACAGCTTTTTTCCACCTGCATGATAACATACATATCCGGCCAACTATTAAACAAGCTAAACACCGTTGTCGTATTTAGTATTTACGCTTCCTAGTATATCCTTCCATTCATAGGCCAGTTAAACAATGCTTGAAAACTTTTGTAAAGTTAATTCAGTGTCTTTAACCATATAGGTAACTAAATTTATTGGGTTTTTCAGGTCATTTTTATTGGCTTCATCCAATCACGACTCCATAAGAAAATATAGTTTTTATCCACCGTCTACGTTATTTTTAAACCGACTTGAAAAGACTTCTTCCACAACTTAAAAATACCCAATAATTTTAACCACCAATACTTATCTCCGCTATTCAATATGCCACCATTTCAATTGTCAAAAACTCAAATTTTGAAAGAGCTTCAAGAACGCATAGAATACAGCCACCGGCTTTTCTGCGCAACACCGAGACCTTTGCTCAGGCAATCAAATTTGACATTCCTAAAATTCTATGTCCAAGTAACTACAAATGTACTTTCTGAGAATTAAACAAACTAAATTCAACCCACACTATCGAGTTTGAACGCAGAAAAACTATACCATTTAGTGTGAGGAATCTAACTTGCTTCTGGGGCGTATCAGGATTCACTTTCACACAGTCCGCATTCTTGAAAACCTCCAACTCACTCAACTGCACAACACGCGCCTCCGCATCAGACAAACTCCGAGCAAAAATCACATACATAACCTATCACATAAAAAAAAATTCCGAAATTCACAACTTACTTTATCAGCAGCGATATGGGCACCGACAAAATTGGGAATGCGATGGTGGACGGGCCTGGGGAACTGGGCTATGTTTCGGGCCTCCATCAAGTCCCAGACCCGTTTCCTGATGACCCATTTCCAGGCCTTCGGGTCGTCCGAGTCTCGGGCCTCCGTTTCGCATCTCTGGGCCATGGACTCTCGGGCGGCGGCGTCGAGGCTCAGCCGCTCGGCCTCGTAAGCCGCCTCGTCGAAAGCGGCGTCGTTTTTCCGCGAGGCTGCCGTGGTGTGAAATCCCGGTTTATTCCAGCCGCTCGGGTTAAGGAATATTGGAAAAAGCGAGACTTTAATACTATAAATTCGGGCAATTGAGGGGAAATTAAGGGGCTGTTTGGGTGATATTTTTGCTGCGAGAGGAAACGCAGAATAGAGCTTGAGCAGTTGGGTGTCCATGGAGGGGAAAATTAAGGGGCTGTTTGGGTGAGACTTTAATACCGTGCTCTCATATTTAACGCCTTCTATTGTTACTACCACACTTGTGAAGAAAATTATATTTAAAACAATAGTTATTTTAGTTTTAAATATTATTTCGAAAAAATATATTATTATTTATATTTAAAATGATACAAGCACTTACACATCTTAACATTTTTTATTATGATTTTTAATTGATTTCAGATGATAATTTATAGTTGAGTTAGTTTAAATAATTTTATTAAAATGTACGCTAAATTTCGAAACATAAAAATATTCGTAAGTATCTCGACTTTACTTAGTTATCTCGATGAACATACAGTCAAGCAATCGTCATTCACAATGAAAACATATTGGCTCAAATAGTGGAAATAGTATGCCTTGCAAATTGTAAGACGGAATTTCACCAAAACCCGTATAGCCCGCCCTTTTTTTAGTGCCAATTTGTTGATGACAAAGAGTTACCAAACATAAATTTGCAGTGATTATTGATTTAAGAACGTAAATCGAGCATAAATGAGATCACCAATGAAAATTAGATCGGTAAAATAGTATTTATTGCTATTTGAGTGCATTGTTTGTGAGAGATTAATTGAGCGTGGTCCCTAGTGGGGCACATTACAATTTTTTTATACAGTTTCTATAAATAAAATGCAGTTATTACAGTATGGCAAACAATGTTTCATGCAACAAAACACATGAATGCTTTTGAAGATGAGACGCCCGCTTTTAATTGGCCAGTTCGTTTTGCAAACTAGATCGCCAAATAGCCACTAATGGGCCTTTAGCACATCGACACTGGCTATGTGTTATAAGATCGACATTCGACGCTGTTTGGGTCCGCAGACCAATATTCGTTGGGTTGTGTGTTAAGGCCCAATATAAGATTTAATCTTGATAAAACTAAACTGATTCAAAAGATGTACAAGAACATCAAAATCTCATAAGAAAAATAACATTTGAGATTTATAGAATCGGAGCAAAAGGGTGTGGAACCACGCAAATGAAGTTATTACGGGTGAGTCTAGATACACCATGATATGGGATATTGTATACTAGACCGGTTCGCCAGGATAACCAGAGAAAATAGGTCGGACCGCTGGATTACCTGAGTTAGGAAAGATCGAGTAACCTGGTCAAGAAAGACCAAGCACCAGCAACAAAGGAGCAGAGAGCATACAGAAGAGACCAAACGTGGTCGACATATACGGACCACCATGAGTAGTCGGATAAGGCGTGGTCGCAAAAGATTGGTCGAATATCAGAGGTGCACGAGGGAATCTTCAGCACGTGAAAGGAAGGACGCGTGGCGCACTGTGAGTGGCTACGTAGCTGCAACGAACTCTGACATTCTCTGACAAAGAGGACACGACTCCTGACACTAAAGATAGTGGAGGCGCGCGGCCGTACGGACGAGCAGAAGATAGTTGGCCGAACTCGCCTAGCTCGCGCGTCGCTCAGGTAACTCGCCCTTATAAATAAGGGCGAGAATCCTCATTTTCAGTACGATCTCATATACTCTTATACTTTTTCATACACTCATATTATCTCTCAAGATCTGACTTGAGCGTTGGAGGCTCTTCACCGGAAAACACCTCCGGTGTGGGAGTTTCGTGCAGGTTCCGCGTTCAACCGGCGAGGAAAGCGAGCTTAAGGCGAATTCCAGCTGGTCAGGGTGCGAGACTTGTATTACACCATGATGAGGTTTTTTCATCTCAAAACCAATTGGTGATGAGAAGAACTCACTAGGCATATAAGCTAGACCCGTTTTCCTTATAATATCAATGTGAGGCAACTCGCAAGTGATATTCCAATACGTTACCTCACTTATGTGTCCTTCATAGGCCCAAGCCCAAAGCAGACCGGGTAGAGAGTAAGCCCAAGGCCATAACAGGCCGAGTAGAGAGTAAGCCCAAGCCTTGAACAGGCCGGGTAGAGATATAGTCCCACGCTGGAGTTGGCATGACTTTGATACCATGTTAGATTTATAGAATTGGGGAAAGAAGGTGCAGTCCCACAAAGGTGAAGTGCACAATAAAAGAGTGAGTCTAAGTGCACCATAGTGAGACTCCATCTCAAAATCAATTAGTGATGGGAATAGTAGCCCACTAAGCTTATAAACAAGACTCATTTTCCCTATAGAATCAATATGGAACAACTCACGAGTCATCTCAAATCAATTAGTGATGGGAGAAGTAACCCACTAAACATATAAACTATGCCCATTTTCTATAGAATAGACGTGGACAACTTACAAGTGATATTCCTACACAATAATAAATGAGGATTGGAAAAAAGGAAAGAGTACGTACTGCCTCCCTCGGACAGTTTTGTCCCTAATATTTTTTCAAAAAAGTGAAAAAAATAAAAAAAAATATGATGTCGTCCGACCGGCAAAACCGGCCGTGCACGATGTCGGCCGCAATCGCCAGTAAGACGCGACCGTATACGTCCGCGATCGCCGGTGGGACGCGACCGTGCACGTCCGCGATCACCGGCCGGACGGCAGATTTTTTTTTTTTTTCATAATCAATATTTTTGTTATATAAATTATATAAATTATAATTTAAATTTATAATAGTTTATGTTATAAATTAAAATTATAACAAATAAAATTGTTTTTATAGATTTATAACAAATAAAAATTTATAGCAAATAGAAATTAATAGGTTTTAGTTTGTTTTTATAATTTTATAATTTATTTAGTTTTTGTATTTTTATAAAATTACAATTTTTATAATTTTATATTTTATTTAGTTTTTATAATTTTTATAATCTATTTAATTTTTTATTTTTATAATTTTAAATTAGTTTTTACAAATAAAAATTTATAATTTATAATTTTTAATAAAAATAATAATAAATAAAAATTTATATTTTTTTATAATAACTTTTTTTTTATAATTTTTATAATTTAAATTTTTATAATAAAAAAATTTGATTACAAAAAAATCTACCGTCGAACCAGCGATTGCTGACGTGCACGGTTGCGTCCTACTCACGAGCCATCTCAATTCAATTGGTGATTGGAGTAACCCAATATACATATAAACTAGACTCATTTTCTATAGAATAGATGTGAGACGACTTACAAGTCCTACATAATGATAAATGAGGATCGGGAAAAAGGAAAACATATTACCAACTCTTGAAAAAAAAAATTAAAAAAAAAAATAAATTAAAAAAAAAAAAAGTATCCCCACGAAATAAATGGAGTCCTTGAAAGCATTCATACTAAACTCTTGTATCATGTCCTTATTGAGAAGGGGAGTAAAAATAAATTAATCCAAAAAAGGAATGAAAACAGCAACATGAATGGATACTCTATTCGAATTACAGAACACACAACTGATCAAAATCAAAAGAATAAATAAAAAGGGGAAAAAAAAAACTTTGCATAGGAAAACATATAAATATATAATAAATGTGTGCAATTGCAGCTCTTTTCTTCCTTATCTACACACAAGGTCACCAACAAGAGCTCCTTGTCTTCTTCCAACTCCTTTATCTTTCCTTATTTGCACATTAGCAACCCAAAAAAGCTTTACTAAGAAAAAAGTAGCTGTTTCTCCCAGCATCAATCATGCCACTTTTTTGTATTTTCCTTTTCTTCTTGCACACACAACTCCAATTTCTAATCACAATCCAACCCACAAACCTCCAACACGAGCCCGTCCCTCGACAGGAACGGGTTTATGCGGACCCAAAGCAACGAGAATATCGAGGCCAAGAGGATCGACCAGACGACGATAATCGTCGGCAGCCGGTCCTGCTTCCCCATGAAACCCTTGAGGAAAGGATAGAGATGTACAATCACCCAAAGGGCAAAGAACAGCCGCCCGAAGAGCGGGCCCCACGACTCGTACCCATTGTTTATGGCGTCAGATATCCCGACTGCCACCCCGATAACGTTGATGACTAAAAGAGTCATGGGCGGGATCAAAAGTGACGTCCACTTGAAGAGGTAAAGCTCGGAAAATTCACCGTCATCGGCCGCTTTTGAGGTGACCGTGAAATTTGTATTGACACCGGCCAATACTTTGAGCAGACCTTGGATAAGGGCGAAAAAGTGAGACGAGACTCCACCAATCACCCAAAACTGCTCGTTTCTCCACCAGTCATCGATGCCGACCCCACCCCACTGCATCTCGAGTATGCTCGTCACGGCAATGGATATGAAGAGGCCCATGAAAACGAGACTCGCATAGTTGCTGATCTGTACATGAAAAAATAAATAAATTCGTAAATAAATAAAATAAAGAAATGATGAGAATTTTCTAGGAAATAACTTTAGACATTTGTGGGACTCACCTCAGGAACAATGAATTTTCCAGTAAGCAGGCATACGGCTGGCAATGTGCAATAAACGATCAACGGGAGTGAAGTCAATGGATAGATAACTGAGTTTATGTAAGAAAATCTCTCGAGCGGCTTCAGACCACATCCATATCCGTACCAAATCGGGCAGTGCCTGCTTAAGAAAATCTCGACCGAACCCAACGCCCACCGAAGGACCTGGTGCAGACGGTCCGAAAGATTAATGGGTGCCGATCCTTTGAATGCGGGCCTTTTGGGTATGCAGTAAACGGATCTCCACCCGTGGCAGTGCATTTTGAACCCAGTCAAGATATCTTCAGTAACCGAGCCATATATCCATCCAATCTGGCGAAATACGAATTGTCAGGGCCAACTTGTGTATCCAAAAACAAATAATGGGTACACAATGAACAAATAATGCACTGGTTTTTGAAATAACGAAATAAACTGTTGTAGTTTATGAGGAAGTGAAGTGTAATTGTACATTAACCCATTAATTAATTTTATAAGCAACAAGTGTGTACCTCCTTTCCCCACTCGGTTTTATCTTCATAACCGCAACTAATCACATGAATAGCTTCTTTTAGAAGTGATGCAGATGACGCCCCTGGAGGTACACCACCTTGTTCTAGCAGGGTTGAGGCAATGAAAACGGGCGACTGTCCAAACTTTTTCTCGAATTTTACCTGGGGCATGAGAGCTGACTTTTCGCTTTCGATTCCTGTAATGAAGATAAAAAAATGTCAAAAAAAAAGATGGGCGCACTTTATACGAGCATTATGGAATAAAATAACTACTAACAGAGATTATGAGATGGTCGTTCCGGAATCTGAATTTGTTATGAAGTATAAACTTGTGACTGGTAAAATCAAGGCAAGTACTAAATTTCTTCTTTTTCCATTTTACATTTGACATAAAATTATTTAGTCACATGCCCTTAAATAAGAAAAAGATTAAGTTTGGTCTCACCTTCAACTCCTTCCTCGATGTTTTCAAGAGCATGGATCTGTGTAGAAGCTTCCCTTCCTTTGGTCTTTTTCTTACTATCCTTCAACTTATTATCCTTCGACTTTCCTTTCCTATTCTTCTTTCTCGACCCACAACAGCAACAACACCATTTGGGCAAACAGTTGCAAGTTTTGCCAGGAGGTTTTGTCTTCTTGGGCGCATCATATCCATAAAGTGCTTGCCGCCTAAAGACACAACCTGTTCCGACGTAAATTGGCCCTTGAATCCCATCAAGCCCTTTCATATTTATCTGGTAGCATTTTAAAATACAAAATAAAATCAGCTTCTGCAGAAAAAAAAAAAAA